GCTGTTATTTATCGTCGCGGTTATTATCGGGTCGTTTTCGGTTGTTGAGGGGGGTTTTTTTTTTTATTATCATTCGCGATTGATAAATCGACAATTTCTCCGGGTCGCGTTAAATTTGATTTTTTTTTCCCACTTTCCTTCACCACCGCTATATATACTGCCAGTATACACAATATACATTTAATGACTCGGAAAATGTGGTTCTCGTAAAAAATAAATTACATTTACTATTACCGTTAATGTCAGATATCTACACCCCGTATCAACCTATAAAATAATCCATATCCATATACATGGTTTATCTTTTTTCTTTTGTACCCATTATTTAAACGCTGCTGATTTTCTTTATCTTATAATATATTTTATTCGTATTTGTAAAACGTTGGGCAATTTCCATTTTCTTGTACGTTTCAATCGACTCTCATCCTCGTCTTTATACGTTATTAATATTGTAATTTTTACACCTACGTAGTACGTTATAGATTGACAATTTGGGAAAATAGGTACGTTTTAAACGTAAAATATTTTATTTTGTTGTTCCATTGTTGTTTTAAATGGAATATTTTATTTATTTTTTTGGCATCCTTAAATCTAGGTGGATTATTTTTTGTGACGAGTGAATCAAATTAAGTTCCTGAGCTAACCTATATTTGTATTGATGAAAACTATTACATTTTTATTGGAATTTCCTAATCAAAATACACTGAAGCTTCTAAATACCGGATACTCTCGGTCACTGAAATTTTGTCTTCTATTTAATGGTGTCCGTTATGGGAGGTTTCACTATTTGTTTAAACTTCCCTAACATGTAACTATCAATTAGCTATATTTTATTTTATTTGATTATTGAATTATATGTTTAATGCATATAAGATATAAACAATATTATAAACAGTTATTTTTTATACAATTGTATACATTTCATTACTGTTTGTCTATTTGTAAACCTAAGTATAATAAAGTTATACATATAGAAACGATGACCGCTTGTTGAACTTTTTTTAGGTTTTAATAACAATATTTTTTTATCGTAATTCTTAGTCTAATCATAATAAAGCAATCTTCATACTATATTAGTATATTATACAGAAATGAAATTGTACTTGTTAATTAACGCTTGTTGAGGCACTGTCACTGTTTGGTCTCTATTTCGAGCCAATTTGTATTCATTAATGTTTGTTATTTTAACTATTTTGATTAACTTTTAAATTTTAATACATAACAACATAACACATGCTGACATGCATCAAGATTTCAATACAATCAAGTAAATAATTGATACAATTTCGCGGACTCTGACTCTGGCCCTGGCCCCTGGCAATCAAATTGTGGGGTTGAGCCAAATAGGGCAACAAAATACGCTGAAAAACAGATTTTCTTAGAAATCTTAGAATCTTGCATGATGGAATTTAAATAATGGTGATAAAAACTAAATAATAAAGTTTAATAATTCGATACAATTTTAAAAGATATATATTTTGTTTGTACATATTATAATGATTTATTATTATTATTATTATTAGGTACCTAAATATGTAAATACCTATTTTTTAGACTGAGTATAGAACGTTTGATGTATTTTTGAGTATATTTTATTCTTGTATATACTTTTGGGAGTATTAATGATAAAACAATTTATAGTCACCTCTATGAAATTGTTGTTATTATGGTTGGCGGGTGTTATCAAAAATCATATAGCAGAGCGGTAACATGTTCACGCTATCGGGCTAGGCGATTACAAAAACCACTTACAATAATTCTACTTTAGCTTACGGAGATAAATGAGGCGTTGACATGGAAAAGGTAATAAGTAAAAAAAAAAATCAATTTTTCGTTTTTTCGTTGAAAAAGTAGTAAATACATATGCCAATGGCCAGGGAAAAGAACTAACTCAAATTTCTTTAAATATTAGTAATTACATTGAACACAAGGTGGCACTGGTCGTAAGTCATTGCTGTCATAAAACCAGTTTTTTCCTTCTCCTGTAAAATTTGGATTTTATGACTTAGTACCTTTTCCATGTCAATGCCTCAAATATTTTCATAAGAAATACTTATTATTTTTTACAAAAGAAATCTTTTTTGATTACAAGTCACATTTTATATTTCTTATACAGGATCTTGTCTTTGTGCATTCCCGCTAGCCTATTTATATTATACTAGCTGAAGGATAAATTAAAAATAAAATGAATATTGACTATTTTTAAATTTTTAATATTTAAAGTTAAATTTTTAACTGAGCCATGCAAAAATGTTGTAACACCTGTACGAATATATGACCATCTGATTCGTAGCAGTAGTGAAGGGTTATGCTTATGACTTATGAACATATTACTGTGTGCGACGTGCGTGCACACTGCATGCGACAGTGAACGTGGGTATGTTACTAAATACGTAATATAAATAAACCAGTAACTATTTAGTTCTTTATTTTCTTGCAAATGTCACATTATTAGCTCATCTTTAACCGAACACTTCAGATATAACTATACAAAAAAAAATAATATATATGAGATACGATACGGATACCTACCCTTCTATTCATAAAACAGCTATATTTAAATATTTAATAGAAATTTAAAACTTGGTGTTTAAACATTTATGATTTTGTATTCTTAAAATATATGGTTCAAGATGTATTACTTCTTTAGTCTTAACTAAACTAGTTAAACAATAATGTATGGTCTATAGTTAGGTTACCTATTATAGTTGATAGCCACATAAATCATAACGTCATATTCTTGTGTAAGGTTTTTGGTATCAACTGTATAAAACGTATACCTATATTTATTTATAATTTCTTTCCAGAATAATATCGGAATATTTTGATCTGTTCTTTTAGGTACCTTTAAAAACCCTTGGTAAATTAATACAATTTTACCAATTTCATTTAATTAGTAGACTTACACTGGATAATACATTTATAGAATTATAGAATTTGACTAACCTATTTTGATGAACTTTTACTAATACTACTCTAGTAGTGTTGATATATTTTTAAAAACAAACTTAAAATATTTAGTAGTGTGGTACCTAGTGGCTATAGTACCAATAAAAAGTTTCTGTTGGGATTAAATTATTTTGATTGCTTTAAATCTTCAATATTTTATTTATATAAATAAATTCTGTTAGATCTACTTTTAACGAAATCTCGAAAACTGATATACTTATAATAAGAATATAATATACCATAGAATATGCTTTTAAGTAGCTTCAATTAATAATTCGTATAATTATTAACATCACTCATTCGTGTCATTTTACGGGTACCTATATTGATTTATTAAGTTGTTATAATATTATTTTATTTATGTTGACTATATTCAATTGTCTTAATTTTGTATATATAGGATAAGCTATATCTAGATAAGCTAATAATGTGGTATACTTATTTACAATTGATAACAGCCCAAATCTAGTGTCTACCTTATAATCTGCAGGTAATTAAAAAAATTGACGGGTTAAAAAAAAGCTTTTCTTTCATTGAATTTCACTGTTGGTATAGGTACATAATTACTTTTTTTTAAATTAAATGTTCAGACATTTTTTTTTTCGTTACAGGTAATTTTTAAGGTAATTGAAATAAAACTTAAAAGTAAATAACTTACACTCACTGAAGAATATAATGTTTTGTTCAGTTTTGATTAAAAGTCGTGATTTCAAAGTAATATAGGTACTTAACTTAATTTTATACATTACTATAATATTGTATTATGGATTCGTATTTATTTCGTATTAGTTATTACTTATCACTTATTAATACACCTACCTAATTACTATATATTATATAGGATAATAAGTTATACTAATCAATAAATAATAAAATTAATAAATCTAAAAATCTAAAAATCTAAAAATGCTGCATGTCGACGTTTCTTATAATCTATAATATGTCTATTAGTGTTATTACTTATTACCGATTATGTTTGCAGATAATTGTTTTCCCTTGATATCTCCGTTGTCGTATCTATTTTAGTTTTCGATAAACACTTGTCTACCTTTTTTTTAAATTATTAGTATGCTTTATAAGGTGTAACAAGAGGGGGCAATTTTGCCTCGGGCATGGTGGCAACATGGGTGTGACGTAACAAACTCGTTTTTTTAAACTTTTTTTGGATGCTGCGTGGCAATGTTTTTGATCGGCCTAGTTGGCGGTCTACATCAAATTAAAGCCACGTGGTTTGTTTCCCGTCTGTGTGGACATATTTCAGCCAAGTTGCGTAGCATCAATAATTATAGTTTATAAATATTCCAATTTTTTTTTTTACTCGTAATAATCGAAAAACAAATGCTACAACATAGCGTGGACAAGTATTTGCCGCACAACACGACAAAAGCCGCTTGGTCTGAACGCGTCTTTACTCTAAATATTATGGAACAATCAAATATAGACCATCAATATTACTTACCTACCTGTTACCTTCGGTGAATTTTATTTGAAATTAAACGTATTACACAATAACTAATTTAAAGTAAAAATTAAATATTTTTTTTGAAATTTAATTGGGTTTTTTTATTTTGAAAAAATCAAGTTTTTCCAATTTTTAAATAGCAAAAATATCTATGACACTCAGGTAAACTTCCTTAGAACACATACAAATTTAAAAAAAAAATTTAACCAAGCATAGTATGGATATTAAACTGGATTTTGTTGTTGGAACGTCGCAGTTGCACCCGCTGCATAAACATTTAGCGCGTGGGATCATAATATGTTGTAAAAAGCTATTGTTATCGCGAAACACTTGTGTGGAATCACAAATTACTAGTTAAAATTTTAAAATATTATTTACTATCTAAATTTATCACTTTTTGGTACCAACATTTATTGTACATTTAAACTGTGACTAACTGTTTTTCAATAACTACCCCTGAACATTATATAACTTATATTTTTATCATGATTTTAACATTTTACTAATGCATTGCTACCTATTTAAGATTTTAATCGCTTAGTAGATACATTCATAATAAGTAATAAATGCATTTTTTGTTTTTCCTTAGATAATTTTTCGATAGGAATATTGGTCATAAGTTCAACAATATTGGGCTTACTTTTGTGGCCTCTCATTGAGTATACCATTCATCGCTGGCTGTTTCATCTGCAGCCTCCAGACAACTCACCATTACTTATAACATTGCATTTCGGCATTCACGGACTACATCACAAGGTATATATATGTGTTATATTCTCTCAGTCATTGGGCAGTGTGCTTAAATGCGTATTGTTTAAAAAAAGTCAAAATATTATTATAATTATAGGATGGTTAGGTACATTTTTCAAGGAAATTTATTTAGCAAATAAATAAGCTCTTATTTCACCCTGGTTAACTGCGAGCATACTTAACTTAATTACTGTGTATATATGTGTGTCCAAATTAAAGTGATAGTCTTTGATGGAATAAATTACTTTGAGTATCTACCTAATCATCTGAATGAAATTCAGCCATTTAACATTTATCTTAAAAGGTATAAAAAAAAATGATATTTAAAAAATCTTTATTTTGCTGTAACATGATAAATCTATAGCTATTAAATGTATTATAATAGGTAATTAGAAGTAATGTTGGTAATATAGGGTAGTTTAAAATTCATACGTGCATTGTTATTAGTTTATTACTTGCATATTATGCTAGGGTGAATCGACTCTCAGAAGAAATGTTTTTGAGTGGAGCTCATTAGTTATTACTGCAAGTAATATAAATAAATAGAATCATGTTTAAAAATAATCATTAATTTGAAAAGGTGACTTTCGATTTTCAAGATTTATAAATAATTAAAAAATAATCTACATAATTTTAAAATGTAATCTCTCTTACAAAACATTATAATGAATCATTAGTCGTAAGTTTAAAATATTTGATAATTATTATTAATACTATTTTTAATTTCAACAAGATATGATTACTGATAATTTATTATTTATTACTAACGTAATATATTACATATTATAATAATATGCTTTATATTTGACACCGTTAAAATAAAGTTAATTTTATTTATTGACGAACTGAGTTAGATCTATCCATAGATAATATAAGAATGGATAGGACATGCCTATACCAGTTCCATATGAGGCCGTGTGCTTTTTTGGGGAAGAGAGAACGTAAAGAGAGAAAGACTATATGAGGCTTTTTAAGGTTATGTGCAAAACTATTTTATTAAATAATAATAATAATAACATGATAGTCAGTTATATTTAGATATTTGTCAGTTTGTATTTTGATTGTTGTGCCACCTGTGCCTGGAAAATGGAAATTGGAAAATAATATTTTAACAAAATGAAATTATATAAATTTTATTTATTATTATTTATCAATTATCATATCAATATTTGCCTTATATAACCTTAAAAATAGTATCACTAAATTTTCATGTGATAAGCTCTTATGCCCTATCCATTCTTATATTATCTATCACGGACTAAGATATACAGGACTGGACACGACAAGGGTGGAGGGTGTGGGGGGGTTGACTACGAAATGTTTTACAACAGGCAGTGTTCGGGGGGATATTTTCCTTTTAGCATTACTAGCGCCGTCTTAGTGGATACTTTTGGAACTAGATGACAACAATGTGATCTAGTTCCATATTGATCATCCGATATCCAATAAATTATTTGTGCTTTATGAACAGGAGTCAATTGTCAACTTAAATAATTTGTAAATGTATAACCTACTCATACTGCCTAATCATCTAAAAATTAAAAATATTATATATTTGACACCAATATCTTTGGAATTTCTTCTTCATCAGAATATTTACAATTATCAACAAAAATCTTTAAAACATTTTATACATTTATTCATTATTCATCTATTAATCTACGTACGTAAAAAAATAGTATTATTATGTAATAGAAAATGTTAGATAGTATTATGTTTGTTATCTAATTAAGAAATTTCCTTTCATAGGCAGGTACACAAATTAATTTATTATCAACATATATTAATGAAAGGCTTCTAAAAGTTTAGACAAAGGTCACTGTAGTAATGTATAATTATTCATTATTGGCGATTCAAACAGGTAATCTAATTTTACGTACCTACTGAAGACAAAAATTATATTAGTACAAGTTAGGTACATAAAACTAATTTTGAACAATTTATTTTTATTACGTTGAAAACACTGTTAAGATGTTGAATTAATGTTATATTAATTGATTATTTTTTACATAGACGTTTTAGATTAATTGTTTTTAAATTTTAACGAGTAAAATGTTTTAATTAAAATTTAAAATTACACTTGTTTTCTAATTTGTAGTAAATATGGATAATCAAACAATTTTGGTAAAAAGTAATTGATTTTCATTCTCAATGAAAGGATTTTTTGGTCTATTGACTTGTGTTATTTTATGCTTGATAATGTTAAAACAATTATTTATGTTTTATAACACTCAAAACATTTACATTGCATATTTATATCCGTTGTTAAATCGTCTGATTGGTTACCGTTAATGATTTTAAAGTAGAACGAATTAACATCAGTTTAAAAATGTCGGTTTAACGCCCTCGGGTTTGTCGTAGTAGATGGTTTTAATTGTTTAAAATGTTATACATTTTATATAATAATAAATAATAATGTACGAGTACATAAATTGCTTTGATATCCTGTATAAATTTTTTTTTAAATATTACATTTATAATATTTTACTCCGAATAACGTTTTTGTATCAACGAATATTTCTAGTTATCTCATTTAAAACTATGAAAATCGATTTGCAAATAATTTTTGTTGATTTCTATATTAGGTACTATTGTGCTATACAACTATATTATATTGCTTATATATATTTGTAGTAATTTTAATTGGAGTTTTAAGTTACTAATTTTACACTCTAAAACTTAATTGTATTCAGTTTTATATATCTTTTTCAATAACAAGGTATTAATATTATAATATATACTGTACTTTAAGGATTTAGTGATAATAATAATTATACATAGTTTAAAAAATTAAGAACATTTTCGTTAACTACGTTTTTATTTCTCATACATTTACCATAAAATAATACATTTGACATTGGAACATTAATATTAGTTAATTTATAATGCTATTCTTAAATAATCTTAATGTCGTAATGAATGCCATTAGAACTAGTGGGCACATAGATTTATTGTATATGAGCGTGTGGTGTGGGTGTACCTACCTATGTTCTATGACGTTAGTTAAATTTTACTTTCATGATTTCAAATTTCGTAAAATTAATTTCTTATTCTTGAAGAGCAAAGTGCTACGAATACCGTAAAGTATGGGCGTGAATTCTATAAGATAAAATTAAGGAAGTGGGTAAATACAATACAAATAAAACGAAAATAATAAATAGGTACTTGTAGTAATATCAATATGTTATTTTAATACTAAAAATTTGATTAAAATAAAATAGAATGGTAAAGTGGTTTTTATTCTGAATTGACTGTTAAATGTGTATAGGAATCCTGTTTATTAAAACTTAATTTATATTTTTATAATGCATAATGCCTACCTATATTATGTATTTATATAATATATATATATATATTTTAAAATCCTGTTTTAGCATCAGCACATAACTATGAATAAATCCTTGTATAATTTGATATGGTTAACATGGCTTATATAACTTATAAGTTGTGACTTTATAAGTAATAAAAAACAAAAACAGTATTTGTACCAAACTATAATTAACATAACTAATTAATAATAGTTATTACTATAAATATTATTTTTAAATATGTTTATTATTAAAGTGAAAAACAGTTTCGTTTAATTACGATTTATTTATGTGTATATTTAAGAATTGAATTGATAAAGATATGGTAATTTATTTTTTACGACTAAATTACTGATTTCACCTATTGTGTGAAACTGGTTAGTGGTTACACAATATTCTTCTTAAAAGAAACCGTATAATGATTATACTCGATATTATGAAGAAGGATAAACACTGCACAGGTATCAAAAATATAAAATGTCTCTAACTCTTATTAGTCATTGGTTTGATAATTAGTTATGTTATTTTATATTTTTAGAATATTAGTTATTTGAATATACATACAAACAATGAATACAAATCTAAGTGGAGATTATATTACGTATTTTTTTTTTTTTTTAGACTAATTGATTACCTCAAAAGTCAAAACATAATCATTAGCAATTTAAATAATTAGTTATATCATACGTTAGTGGATCTGCGCTTTGTTTACACCATATCTCGTAAATTTTACAAATGTATGATAAAAAACAATAAGTATAATTTAGTATATATTATTTTAATAAAAGCGTTACAATAGGTACACAAATCGACATATGGTATGAAAAGTGTAGGTGTCTTAACAAACTGTTCTGTGAGGTTTTATACTTTTATTCTATAAATACATACCTAATGTACAATAAACGCAATATTCCAAAACATCACAAAAATAAAAAATACCCATTAATATCTGAACGAGGTGGACTTAATTTAAAAGAGAAATGAAAAACTCGCATCTCACATTAATATATTATTTAAATGTTAGTGTGTTACCGTTAAAATTAATAGTGTGCCTACATATTATATAATATATTATAGTATATTAATTGGCGACGGCCTATCGATTGTAGTATTGCATTACGTCATCTAAGGCTAAATACATTTATTATAGTCTATTACGTATTTCTGTATTAGGATTTAAGTGACGAATGACAATGATAATCAGCTAGTTAACATATTTGCCATTCATAAAATATAATCATTTTAAACTATTTCAAATATTTTATTAGTGTTCCTTTATCAATAAAGTTGCAACTTTTAACAAATTTACAAATATTTCAAATACTTAAATTGTTAAATTTGTTCTGCATATTAAAAATTGAATTACTTAATTTATTTTCAAAAAAATACAAAATACCTATACATAATTAATAAAATTCCATTTTAAATATCATATTATTTACCTAAAAACAATCATAATTTATAAATGTAAACATTTTTAAATCAATTCTTAAATTTGATTTAGTATTTTCCTCTTTTTTGGTATCAATTCAAAACTTCTGGTATCTCCATCCTATCCAGTTAAAATACTTAAATAAATAAATGCATTTCAATAAATTATGAAAATAAAATTAGACTTATTACATTATAATTCAAACATAAATATGTATATTTTTTTTAATTGTATCTGAAAAGCATTTATTACAAAATAGTTAAATA